CAAATTTGATTATTTCTGGAGTCAAAATATGTGTTTCTACTTTTGAGTGGAATTAAACGTGTGTGCATTTTTACCTAATTTATCCAAATTAAAAACTCATTTCTTTACAAGCGCTTTTTACGTTCAGTTTGTTGTCCTTCCCCCGGCACACCGATTCGCACGGTTGACTCCGTACGGTGCGAAAGAAGTTGAACATACACGCGTACATACAAACATCTCTCTCTCTCTGCTATTCTATGTCGAACTTCTTTCGCACCGTACGGGGGGAAGATCAACAAACTTCGCTTTTGGTGACGTCGCTTGATTTCCAGCGCAAATCTGCGGCGAAACGTCGTACAAGTGATAGCCGAACAAATAAAAACACATCGATTGGAATGTTTCCCCACGTGACACCTTGATTGGCCACTATGTATGTATGCTGCATTTCTTTCACACCGTACGCAGGAGGTGCGCATGGTGACTGCAGCAGCAGCTGCAGCAGCAGCTGCAGCAGCAGCGATGTGGTCCAACGAGCTCGATGTCACCGATGTGGAGGTTTTACTGCTGCTGCTGCTGCTGGCCACGACGGGAGGGCATCAGCAGAGAGACAGAGGGAGAGAGTTCGTGTCGTGTCGCCGCTCTTCCTCCTCCTGCGTTGAAGGAGCGCAGGCCGCAGTGGGTTCACTCTGCGGTCCATGAGTCTCTCTGTGAGTCTCTGTGAGTCTGCATCTCTGTGTGTCTCTGTGCTTACTGTATGGGCCATAGTGTGGGTAGCATGGCCACACTTGCACGCCTGCGGCTTGTCTTTAAAGTGTCTCTCTGGGTCTCTATGAGTCTGTATCTCTGTGTGTCTCTGTGTTTAATATATGGTCCATAGTGTGGGTAGCGTGGCCACAAGTCCACTACTGTGGCTCGTCTAGGCTGTAACTAAGTATTTCTAGGACTCTCTGTGTGTCTCCATGTGTCTGTATGTATCCCTATGCGTCTATGTATCTCCGCGTATGGCAGCGATGTGGTTCAGGATATCGATGTCACCAATGTTGAAGTTTCACTGCTGCTGCTGGCTACGACGAAAGGGCTTCAGCAGACACAGCGAGTGAGTTCGTGTCGTTTTGAAGCTCCTCCCCCTCCTCCGTTGAAGGTGCTGCTACGAAGAAGGGCCATTGCCCGAAACGTCGCCTATTGCGTGTATATATTAATTTATTTTTGCCCATTCGGCGGGGAGGGGGGGCGGGGGTTTGCTCCGTTTGCCGTTGGAAACGCGGCGCGCCCGGTGATTGGCCCCACGGCGGCTCCGAGAACGGTTACCGTTCTGATTAAAAAAACAATTTACTTTTCACGACATCATCACCCCTGTCCGCACAGGAGCCCACGACATTCTAAGCGTCCCCGCAACGCTATTGCACAGCCACGCCAACGCACGCGGCGCTCGAGGGGAAAAGGGGGAGTGGGGGACGGAATTTTTGCCTCTGCGTTTGCGCACCGAGCGTGCCCACCACTTAATTTGCCAAAGCGCCAAATTGATGCCACCCCCCTCCTCCACCCCCATGAGATCCGCGTGTCCATATCTTGTGAATAAAAAGAACCCCAACAACCCCGATGCTACGATTTGTCATGTTTGGTTGTTGAGATAACCCACGTGACGCGCTGACCAAGTATATAAACAAATTACTCGGCGACCCTTGCTGCTGCTGCTGCTGCGTTGCCAGTTGTGCACGAGCACAAACAACAACAGCAGCAGCAACAATAACAACAACAACTTAGCCGTCGCATCCGGGTTGTTTTTCCACTGTGCACACCGAGCCGTGCCACTGACGTCACGAGCAAAGATTGAGTCACCAAGCCACCGGCCCTGGCCCTGCTTGGCCCCGAGTCAGACGTCTTCTTGTGAGGGCAGCCAGCCTCCCTCGCCTGGTACGCACGAGGTCGTGGGCTATACCCAGACCCTGACGCCTGCTGCTGCTGTATATTTGGAGCTTGCGTGTCTGTCTCTGCTCGTGGTCACGTGGATTTTTCTCCGTGTCCTCCGGTTTTTCCCTTCCACATTTAGAATCAATATCACGCGCTCAGAGTATTCGACTGCTGTACATTTCCACGTGATGATGATGATGATGAGCCCACTTCGTCGAGCTATCATTTCGTGGCCAGGTCGCTTCTGAAAAAGCGCTACACAGCTCAGTTGGACGTTACCTGATAAATAAAAACAATAATTTGCTAAAAAAACTGCTTAGCTATAGCGTAGCTTCGCATCACCGTTTGGTTCGGCCTTGGCACGGTGGCAAATAACCGGTGGGAAAATAAAATAAAATAAAAACTCCCGTGCCGTTTGGGAGCCGTGCTGGCTCGGCTCGCGTGTGCCAGTGGAGGTGTCAAGGGGCGTTGTCTCGGCGTGGTGCGGCTGGTCCAAAGCAGAGGCAAAAACCAAAAAACCAAACCCACCCCCCCCCCCCATGGCTTCATCACCTCGCGGCGCATCACCCGCCACGCCTGCATCGATCACCATCGACAACAAAAGCAACAACGAAGTGAAATCAAAGTGATATTTACAGCCGACGTGAGCCGGAATAATCACGTGAACAACAATGATACTCTTCTTGGTTCTTTCGGTAAAGTCACGTAGAATGGAAATAATAAAGTAATACATTTTTTATTATTATATTATTTTATTATGTTTACTTTTTATTATTTTATTATTTCCATTCTACGTCACTTTACCGAAAGAACCAAGAAGATGAATCCCTGCAGTCACGAAAGCTTTAAATCGAAACAATTATACTAATAATAATAATGACGACGACGATGACGACGACGATGACGACGATCATTTCAGTAGTGATTGCAACGTTGCCACGCATCGGCAAGACTCGCCGTTATCGCACTTTGAAGTGACAGCGAACATACAGAGAGCGGTGGCGCAGTGGTTAGCGCACTAACAGCTTAGACCCGGCGACCCGAGTTTGATTACCAGCCCCCATCGCCCCTAGGTCGACTCAGCCTTAAATGCGTAACTGGTGCGGTGTGTAAAAAGACATCAGCGCTGGGGAGACAAAGGCGGCCGGGCGTGGTGCTGGCCACCCACCCCCTCGTGTGCCGTGCCGGCCTTCATTAGGTGCTACTCGCTAACAGCACTTTCCCCAAAAGTATATTAAGGCTATACGGGGGATCATTGCCTTTGTACTGTTTGTGTTTTGCTTGGGAGGAGGGAACCGAGCCCATCATTCCTCTGGGCTCCGTAAAATGATTACCACTTTGTGAGAAATGAACAGCCGTTGTGCCACATTATATACATACTGGGCTTTCGCCATAGGAACGTGGATTCTCCCACCACTGGATCGCCAACGAAGATAAGCACCACCCAAGATGCATGCCACCAGTTCCCCCCCCCCCCGCTCCAAATGTCCACGTGATAGGCCCCCTTTTGTTGAGCTATAAGTTGTGGCCAGGTCGCTTCTGAAAAAATAAGTTCATCCCTCAGTGGACTTTGCCTGGTAAGAAAATGTTTTTAGTTTCATCTGTAGATTTTTCGCAAGTGATTTGACAACCTTTCCCATACTTTGGCACTCCTGACGGTGTTTTTGTGTTTGTCATTGTAACATTCTGACCCCGTGCCCCCTGACCGGACATATGTGAGAAATAAAAAAAAGAAAGAGAAGAGCTTAATAGCTCATCGGATTCCTCCCGCAGCATAAATAAACATCCTGACTCCGATGATACGAAGGGGAATTGGTCCAACGCGTGCAATGGAGGAATCCTCCACGTGAACGAGTGCCGAGACCCGCCGAGGCCTTCCCCGCCCGCCACCAAAACACGACATCCGTCGTCGTTGTTGTCTTCGCAGAAAATAAGTTAGGCGATAATTATAATCGCGCGGGGAATGTGTGTGGGGCTTAAAATCGAGCGCACGCCCGTGACGGCGCTTAGCAAGCGCTTAGTCCCTGCGTGCAAGGCGCTGGTTCCACATCCGCGTCGTACGCCCCTCTAGTGCAACAAAATAAAAATAAAAACCCATCCCAAAGAGCAAAGCGTCGCGAACCGACGTTCACACGCCGCCGCCGCCGCAGTGCCGTCCACGGAATTGTTCCTCTCTCTCGTCGTTTTTGTTTTCTCGTCCTCCTTCTTCCGCTCGTTTTCCACCGCACAAGCGAGCCGTGCGCCGGGGCCATCACCGGGGCCAGCGGCGGCGCTCCTCGGACGAGGCCGTACGATTAAACGGAACGAGAGTTGACACGAAAAAAAAAGCTTTCACAAAAAAACTAAAACCGCGTCAACGTGTACGGCTGTCTAGTGGTGTCGATGAGCATCAACCATCAAGCACGCCAACTCCGCTTATCCTCGCAGCAGCAGCAGCAGCAACGGCAGCAGCAGCAGCAACAGCAGCAGCAGCAGCAACGGAGGCGGCGGGCTTTGGGCTTGGCCATGGACGAAAGATGATGGTGATCGCCGTCGCGCGCCACTTTCAGATTTGGCGCTTCTGCGGCCGTCTGGAACGCACTTTTAAATCGTGTCGATTGAAAAATAATTTCTTTAGAAATTAAAAATAATTTCTTTAGAAATGATTTTTTGTGTTTAGTTTGTTGTCCTTCCACGCACCTCCGACGACCACGGTTGGCTTCGTACGGTGCGAAAGAAGTTCAACGTACAGTACAGATACACATCGGTCCGGGACCTTCCGCTAGGTCGACACAGCCTCAAATGAGTACCTGGTGCGGTGCGGAGTAAACATCGCTGCTAGGGAGACAAAGGCGGCCGGGCATGTGTGCTAACCACCCACCCCCTCGTGTACCGTGCCAGCCTTCATAGGTGCTACTCGCTAACAGCACTTGCCCCAACAGTCTGTTCGAGGCTATACGGGGTGGGGATCTTTATTTTGCTATCTGTGTGTGTGTATATATTGTTTAAGCGAAGTTTTATTTTGCCGAAAAACTCTGGTTTTGCCACTGCGATATTTTTTCCCGCTCCACCCCCCCTCGACCCCCCCAGCCCCCCCCCCCCCCACACACTGCCGTCCCGATCGATCGACAGATTCCCATTGCACGAGAAGCGACGGAGCTCGCCATCGTCGCTAATAAATTACCCAGGCACGCGCGTGCCCTCCGCACCGCCACCACCACCACGACCACCACCACCACCACTACCACCACCACTACCACCACCACTACCACCACCACTACTACCGCCAAGTCGCACATTTCGCTAGCGATCGTAAGCCGCGAGAACGGAGAGGAAAACCTACGGAAGCGAATTCCCCATCGCGACGAAACCCTCCGCGGGTGGTTTTGTGTCTGTCACTTGTCGTCACTTCTTCTTTTTAAAAAATATTTTTACAAAAAAAAAAACTTTTGCGCCGCTAATTAAAAATGACTCAACAACTAAAAACAAAATTGCCACCAGGCATCCCAACTTATATTATATATTTTCTTTCAATATATATTTTAGTTTAAAGAAATAAAATCTAATTTCGATAAAAAAAATTTGAGAATTTCACCACCGATCGATCACCCCCATTTTTGGTGCCGCTGTCTAAATCACGACCCCTCCCCTACGGCCCCCCCCTCCCCACTGGGCTCCTTCCACAAAGCAGGCGGCAGCCAATGGAGGATCCGACGCAACTGGAGGGAGGCCCACCAGCAAACGAGAGAAAGAGCCCCCCCCCCACTTCCTCCGTCCCTGCGGCGAGTGAGCGAGGAGAGAGCGCAACGGCAAAACACCGCTCCGCCTCGCCACGCGAGAGCTCGGGGAGTCGTCGGGCGAGCCGCTCGCCCCGGCTTGCTCCGAGCCGCTGGCCCATGGGAACTCAGCACCGGACGACTGCAGCCAGGGAGAGCGGTGCGATTAAGGGGGGGGGGGGAGGGGGCGGCTGTGGGGGGCACAGCTGAAAAGAGAGGTATGGAGAGAACTAGACGTGACCCCCTCTGCCAGCCTGAACCCCCACCCCCTGCCGTTCCCCCACACTCCGGAACACTCACCAGTCCCAACCGCACCGCGTTGGCCGGCTAACAGGGCCCACACACACCAATCGGGCCCAGCGCCGGGCAGCGGCCAGCGGCCAGTGGCCAGGCCCTCACGCCCGCCAGTTGAGCCGGCAACAAAATAAATGATTCGGCGAGAAACGAAGGCATCCCCCCCGGCCACGTGCAGCCGCGCCGCCGTCGTTCAAATCCATCGTCGCGGACGCCCGGGCGAGTTACCACCTCGCCCCTTGGGGTTTAGAGTTTGTGTCTTCTTCACCGGGGCGGTGCGGTGCCCTCTCCCCGACGAAGCCTTTTGTAAGAATCCCGCGAGCTTCCGCGAGCTTCCGCGATCGCGACGAGGCAAAAAAACCGAACACGACTGACGGCGCAGCTCGTCGCTCCACGGGAGATATTTCTCCCCCGTCCCTCCCGCAACGCGTCCCCGTCTCTGCGCCGCGCAGACGCAGCAGCCCTCCCGCGACGCCGGGAGGCCCCGTTTGGCCTCCTCCCTCTGGCCAACTCCAACGTCGCGGCGACGTCGCCACGCCGCCGGCAACAACATCCCGTGGGAGGAGCGCCGTCGGCACGGCTATCTCCGCCGTGCCGCGGCTGCGGCGGCTTTCGCCGCGGCGCCACCACCGCCACCGCCTCCTCCTTTTCCCCCTCCTCCACCTCCTTTCCCACCACCTCCTTTCCCTCCTGCGTCCTTGCCCGCGCCTCGCGGCGCCGCCGCCACGGCCGCCGCGGGCGGCTCTGGGAGTACGACGGCGTCGATGCCGAGCCTGGCCACGCAGGCCCGCACCTCGTCCAGCACGAGGCTCAGGCGGCGGTCGAGCGCCCGCAGGTGAGCCTCGATCAGGATGGGCGCCAGCGGCTCGCGGCTCAGGGACTCGCGCATAGCGGCGCTCAGCCGGTACCGGGGCTCCGCGAGCAGCTGCAGGCGCTGGTAGGTGGACTTGCGGATGCTGGAGGACGAGCGGTGGGGGTGGTGGTGGTGATGGTGGTGATGGTGGCGGTGGTGGTGATGGTGGCGGTGGTGGTGATGGTGGCGGTGGTGGTGATGGTGGTGGTGATGGTGGCGGTGGTGGTGATGGTGGCGGTGGCGATGGTGGCGGTGGTGGTGATGGTGGCGATGGTGGCGGTGGTGGTGATGGTGGCGGTGGTGGTGATGGTGGCGGTGATGATGACGGTGATGATGGCAGGGAGGGAGAGAAGAAGTTAAGCTCACAATTGATATGCGGGATAGCGAAATGGGTAAAGGTGCAGCCCCTGCAAGTGCTCGCTCACGCCAATTTTGGCGGAAGGGCCTCCGCTGCTAGAGGAAGCTCTACAAAGCCTCTCTCTTTCTACAACATAATTTGACACACTCTTCCAGATCTTAATCATGATGAATCGTGCTAAATCATCGTGCTCATGGCGAGCCGTGGTGCATCTTACCAGCAGCACTGCTGCAGAGGCACCAGGATGGTCATCTCATCGTGAGAGTGTTTCCCGAACCTGCAGGACAAGACAAGTTCCATCACGTGCCTGGTCAAGGTCGACACGTGACTGGGTTGGTGGATGTGTGGGTGAGTGGGTGACTTCGTGGGTGGGTCAGTGAGTGAGTGAGCAGGTGGGTGAGTGAGTTAATGGGTGAGTGAGGGAATGGGTGAGTGAATGAGTGGCTGGGTGTGTGGGTGAGTGGGTGACTTAGTGGGCGGGTCCGTGAGTGAGTGAGCAGGTGGGTGAGTGAGTTAATGAGTGAGTGAGGGAATGAGTCAATGAATGAGTGGGTGGGAGGGTGGATGTATGGGTGAGTTAGTGGACGCGTCAGTGAGCGAGTGGTTTGGTGAGTGAGTCAATGGGTGAGTAAATGAGTGGATGGATGGATGGATGAGTAAATGGATCATTGGTTAGGAATCTGGTCATTGAGCCATTGCCCCAGAGATAGTTTTGTCAGTACGCCTTAGGGTGGCAAATGCCAACACGTATTTTCACGAAGCATTTTATCTCTGGATCACAAAAATATACGATAGCAATGTCACTGTGGGAGCTGTCCATGAAAAAATTGTAATTAAATAAGGGTGTTGCAGTATGTGCGATAAAGAATATTGTTTTGCCAAAACAGTGTCTATATGACAGACAGTATCCACACGAAGTGTTCTGCCCATTGTGGACATTGCCCCTAGTGGACACTCTGGTAGCATATTCCACCCCAGGAGATACCCTCGAATCAATCAGCCCCCTCGGCTCAAAGGCTAAACAGGTGAGAAGGACGACTTGAGTGAGTGAGTGAGTGATTGGACGACGTGAGCGAGTGGACGACTTCAGTCAGTGAGTGGACGACTTAAGTGAGTGAGTGGACGACTTCAGTGAGTGAGTGGACGACTTCAGTCAGTGAGTGGACGACTTCAGTGAGTGAGTGGACGACTTAAGTGAGTGGACGACTTCAGTGAGTGGACGACTTCAGTGAGTGAGTGGACGACTTAAGTGAGTGAGTGGACGACTTCAGTGAGGGAGTGGATGACTTAAATGAGTGAGTGGACGACTTCATTGAGTGAGTGGACGACTTCATTGAGTGAGTGGACGACTTAAGTGAGTGAGTGGACGAATTTAGTGAGTGAGTGGACGACTTCAGTAAGTGAGTGGACGACTTAAGTGAGTGAGTGGACGACTTCAGTGAGTGAGTGGACGACTTCAGTGAGTGAATGGGTGACTTAAGTCAGTGAGTGGACGACTTCAGTGAGTGAGTGGACGACTTCATTGAGTGAGTGGACGACACGAGTGAGTGAGTGGACGACTTCAGTGAGTGAGTGGATGACTCGAGTGAGTGAGTGGTCGATTCGAGTGAGTGAGTGGTCGACTCGACTCGAGCGAGCGGTCGACTCGATCGTGTGGGGGGGGGGGGGGGGCGGGGGAGTGAATCCAGGGCGCCGCTGACCCGCGCCCGTTGTCCAGGTGGATGATGAACGTCTCGTTGCCAAACTTCTCGAACGTCTCGTAGTGATGCCGGTCCATGTTGCCTGCAAAGTCACGGACGCGACCGCCCGCCGGTCAGAGACTGGGCCACAGCGGAGGTCGCACGGCGGCGAATCGGGGGGACGGGCACGCAGTGGCGCGCGCGGACGCTCGGCGGACGCTCGGCGGACGCTCGGCTCGGCTCACCCATGAGGAAGTCGAACACCGTCATGTCCATGACGTCCAGGAGGCGCGTGCCGGAGTTGTACGGCGCCGTCTTCCGCACCTCGCTGCAGTAGTTGGGGTCGATCTCCCAGCTGGTACGGGGGGGGGGGGGAGGGGGTGGTGGAGGGGTGGGGGGGGGCAAGAACAGGGGGGGGGGTCACGCGCAAAAAAAATGTAAAGGTGCCCGTCTAGGTTTCGCAGGGCGTCGCACGAGGCGGGCGGTGGGGTAGACAACGCCACGCCTGCCCGGCCGCCTTTGTCTCCCCGGAATATTTGCGCGCACCGCACCGCTAATGAGTGCTCCGTGTGGCCCGTAACGGACGGTTGGGGCAAGTGCTGTTAGCGAGCAGCACCTGTGAAGGCCGGCGCTGTGGCACACGATGGGGTGGGTGGCCGTGTGTGTACTGCGCGTCGAACTTCTTTCGCACCGTACGTAGCCAACCGTGCTAATCGGTGGTGCGATGAGCGCGGTTGGCCGGCCGCCTTTGTCTCCCCAGCGGCGACGTTTAAACACCGCGCCGGCTACTCGCACGAGGCCGAGTCGACGCAGGGGGAGGCCCACGACCTGCTCAGATATGCGACACCGGCGTCGACCACGTGCGAGTTTGTGGCGGTAGCGCGCACCACTGCCACTGCCACCACCGCCACTACCGCCACTACCACTGCCACCACCGCCACCACCGCCACCACCACCACTGTTACCACCACCACCGCGATTACCACCACCACCGCCGATACCGCCACCACCGCCGATGCCACCACCATCACCATCACCACCACCACCGCCGCCGCCACCGCCACCACCACCAACACCGCCACCGCCACCACCACCACCACCAACGCCGCCACCGCCACCACCACCACCGCCAACACCGCTACCGCCTCGAACCCCGCGACCGGACTCGGGCGCTCACTTGGCCTTGCGCCGCTTGTGGTAGGAGCGGCGCCACGGGTTGCGCCAGGAGGTGCGCGGCGCGATGTCCGTGTCCGGCAGGAAGGCGGCGAGGGATCCCTCCAGCTGGTCGGGCTGCCCGCACAGCGCGTGCTCCGTCGTGCAGTAGTACGAGCAGTCGCCGTAGAAGCACACGTTGTTCGCTGCTCACGCACGCACACGTGGGCAGACGTTACGGAAGGATGGGCAGACTCACGGATGGATGGGTGGACAGACTAACTCATGGATGGACGGATAGGCTAACTCATGGATGGACGGACATGCTCGCGAATGGATGGATGGACAGCTTAACGGATGGATGATGGACATGCTGACAGCTGTGTGGGTGGACAGGCTAACGGACGGACGAGTGGACAGACGGATTGTCATACTGACGGACTCAGGGAGGGATGCACAATCCGAATGGGACAGATGCACAGATGTATGGACAAACCAATACACCAACAGATCGACGGATGGGTGTGCGAACCAACGGATGGTCGGACAGATGGAGCGAGCTACAGAGGGATGGACAAACCCAACGGACGGACCGGATGAACAATTCAGCTCACCGGGCGAGATGAAGAACGTCTTGATGAGCTTGCTGTCGTTGGTGATATCGCGTATCTCGCGCGTCATGTTCACGAGGCGCCCCACCACGGGGGGCACGCGGCGGAAGTCGAGCACTTGGTCGAGGTGGAAGGCGGCGATCTCCGCGTTGTGCCGCTCAAAGTCGGAGAAGTAGAAGAAATCGGGCGGCGTCTGCTGGTCCCTCCGCTGCCTGTGGGTAGAAGACGGAGCGGGAGCGCTCGTAACTCAAGCAGTGAACTTTTTAAATCCTATATATTAAGTTCGCTTGCTTGCGTGCTTGCTTGCTTGCTTACGACCGTGCAAACCTTTCGGTCGTTTTTTAACCCACTTCCCGTGATCCAATCGAGCTGACATTTTGCACACAGACTCGTTGTGCGTGACAATTAATTTTCGTGAATTTTTTACGGGTTAATTTTTTTAATCCTTTATATTAAGTTCGCTTGCTTGCTTGCGTGCGTGCTTGCGTGCTTGCTTGCTTGCTTACGACCGTGCAAACCTTTCGGTCGTTTTTTAACCCACTTCCCGTGATCCAATCGAGCTGACATTTTGCACACAGACTCGTTGTGCGAGACAATTAATGTTCGTGAAAATTTTTTGTCCAAAATTTTACACTGTTTAGGGAAAACAAATTAAATATTTAATTACCAATTGTTTAATACTGCAGACAATCATCTGACCCATAGGTGGCAGCCATCTCAAGCCAGAGGACGAGAGGACTCTAGCCGCCATGCATATAAAGGATTTAGAGTGAAAAACTTTGTTTTTACGGGTTATACTTATTTTGTCATTCGTTATGTAGTGGCTAGGAGATGTTAACTACCTCGCCTGGTACGCAGGAGGTCGTGGGTTCGATCCCGACCCCGACGCCTGCTGCTGTATATTTGGAGTCTGCGTGTCTCTTACTCTCCCCGTGGTCGCGTGGATTTTTCTCGGGGTCCTCCGGTTTTTCTCTCCACACTTAGAATCGACATCACGTTGACAGCATTTGGCTGCTATAAATTCCCACACGATAACCCACTTCTTTGAGCAGTCATTTGCGGCCAGGTCACTTCTGAAAAAGAGCTACAAAGCTCAGTGAGCCTTACCTGGTCAAATACCAATAAACTTTACGTTGTTTGAGTTTAGTTTCAGTTATATCGACGTACTCAGTTTACTCAAACTTCCGCGTGGGAAACTCGCTAGGCTGGTCCCAGCCAAAGATACAGCTAAAGGTGCATGCCCTGCAAGTGCTTCCTCACTCAGCTGCTGGCAGAAGGCCCTTCAGTAGAGGGAGCTCCGGAGGGCATTTTTGGCCTACTCTTCCACACTGCTGCTGATGCTCTTGCTGCTGCTGCTGCTGCTTACGCCTTCATTCAAGGCCAAGGTGGTGCCCCACGTTTTTCCAAGAGGTGTGAGTACCCACGCTTTACCCCACCAACAAGCAACCTGACAATCGACCAACTGGGAGTGGACCCATTCATACCCCCACCCCTCCATACCCCAGTCTGGTTCGAATGAGCCCTGGTGCAAGGCATGAAATGGGGTCAACCCCTTCCCCATTCCCTGTCCTCTGGGCCAAAAGTTGACGGAACGTTGAGCCAACGTCGAGGCAACGTTGGTCCGACGGTTTCCGGCCACACGCCGACGTTTTTTTTTTATTATAAACGTCGGCGCGCTTGCTGGGGTGGCTACTATAGTGTAGCCCGGTGCGACGCGTGCTAGCACCTACTTCATGGGCTTGAAGAGCGCCTGGCCGTAGTTCTTGAAGGTCATGATGAGCTTGAGCTGCGTGCCACCCGACTTCATGACTGAATCGGGAAGTGCGGGGGGGGGGGGGGGGTAGAGGAAGAGGGGGGGGGGTGAAGGGGTCGAGGAAGGGTGGCACACCGAACGGACGGCAGTGGGGTCACGCGGTGTGCGTGCGGACCGACCAGATGGCGCGGCGGTTCAAGTGTCAACGGTGCGACCGCGTGCGCTGTTGTTCATCGGCGGGTGGCGGTGGTGGTGGCCGGCGGCGGTGGTGGTGGTGGTGGCGGCCGGCGGTGGTGGTGGTGGCGGTGGTGGTGGTGGCTGGCGGGGAGAACGGGTGAGTGGGTGGTGCCTCTGGCAGTCATCTCAGTCAGTCAACCCACGGCACCTGCCTCTATCCCGTGACCTCTAACCCGTGACCTCTAACCCGTGACCTCTATCCCGTGACCTCCGTCCCGTGACCTCCTGCCAGCAGCGGGGCCGTCGGCAACTTCGCGCGACGGCCTCGAGGGGCACCTAGCTTGGTACGAGCGCCATGGTGACGTCACCATGCACCAGTGGCCCAAACCAGGCTACTGTTAATATTGCATTTAAAGCATCATGAGCACAAACTGAACGCTGCGAGGAAAATGTTTGCAATTAAAATGTTTTAAATAATAATAAAGGAGGATTTCAATCCAAAATGTTGTAGGGGTCTCTAAGCCAGATCTACACGTGTGTAGTAGTGGTGTGTATTAATGGAGCGGTAGTGTAACGGTTAGCGCGCTGCGCTACGAACCTGGTGACCCGGGTTCGAATTCCCGCTCACGGCCAACAACACCAAGTGACGAATATCAAAACCGGTTCTGGGCCTCCCCTATTCGACTCAGCCTCAAATGAATACCTGGTGCGGTGTGTAAACATCGCCACCGGGGTGACAAAGGCAGCCGGGCGTGGTGCTGGCCACCCAAACCCCCTTGTGTGCCGTGCCAGCCTTCATTAGGTGTTCGCTAACAGCACTTGCCCCAACAGTCTGCCGCAGGCTCTACCGGGGATCTTGGTCTTTGTGTATAGTCGTGGACGCCCGGAACCCCGATTGATCTGCGTCCGTGCGCTGCGAGTGACGTTCACTCCCCGCTGTCTCCACTCGGGGGCAGTGCAGCACAGAGCGTGGTCGATGTCGCCACGGGCTTGTTGACCCGGGAGAGTGCCTGCCACTATTAAGACTACATTTTTTGTTTTGTTTTACCAGGTAAGGCCCAACTTGAGCTGTGTACAGCTCTTCTGCAGGAGCCACCTGGCGATAAATGATCAGCTCAACGAAGTTGGCTTTTTTAAAATGTGGAAATGTATAGCAGCCAAATCTTCCAAACGCATGTTTCTGAATGTGGAGGGAAAAGCCGAAATATCCAGAGAAAAATCCACGCGATCACGGGGAGAGTAAGAGGCACGCAGACTCTAAATATATAAAATGCGTCAGGGTCGGGATCGAACCCACGACCTCCTGTATACCAGGCGAGGTAGTTAACATCTTGTCACTGTCGCGTTGAGTCTCAAGACTTGTTTTTATTTTATTTAGGAGGGTCCTGCCAGGTTTTCGCAGTAATGGGACGATGTTGCTACTGCATGTGTGCGAGTGATCCCAGTTACAGTGGCTAGGAGATGTTAACTACCTCGCTTGGTATACAGGAGGTCGTGGGTGCAGTATATTTGGAGTTTGCGTGTCTCTCTCTCCCCGTTGTAGCATAGATTTGTCGACGGATCCTCCGGTTTTTTGCCTCCACATTTAGAAACGTGCGTTCAGAGTATTTGGTTGCTAAAAAAGAAATCCACATAAGCCACTTCTCTTTGAGCTATCATTTGTGGCCAGGTCGCTTCTGAAAAATAAAATCTGTATAGCTCAGTGGGGCTTACATGGTAACATACAAAAAAAAACCGTTTCTACTGTTTGAGTTTAGTTTCAGGTATATCGACGTACTCAGGCGAGTCAAAGTCCACGTGGGAAACTCGCTAGGCTGGTCCCGGCCAAAGATACAGCTAAAGGTGCATGCCCTGCAAGTGCTTTCTCACTCAGCTGCTGCCAGAAGGCCCTTCAGTAGAGGGAGCTCTGGAGGGCATTTTTAGCCTGCTCTTCCACACTGCTGCTGATGCTCTTGCTGCTGCTGCCTTTATTCAAGCTGGGGGAGGAACCCAGGCGGGAAACCCCACGGAGAACACGAGGAAGAACACACAACCTCCACAGACAGAGAGCGAGAGGTGCCCGAGTTGGGAATTGAACCTAGGCTCCCATTTCTAACCGGCACGCCCCTAAGGCAGCGGTCTCCTCGCCACAGCGGCTTGCTGCTTCCAGCGGTGGTCACACAGCTCGTTCTGTCTCCCGTGGTCGACGCCTTTAAACTCAATCATCCACCGGTCTGTTTTCATCCAGAACATTGTTTAATGTGATTATTGGGGGGAGGGGCGGGGGGAGAGCAGAACCTGGCCGAGGATTGAAATCGAATTGGGCATCGTCACTCCTCCATCCCTCCCTCCCTCCTGTCCAATGTCCCCTCCCCCCTCCCCCGTCTCCAATTTCCCCTCCCCCCTCTCGCTTCCCAGACCCGTGGGGGCCCTGGTGCCGTTGTACTGCCTACACACTCGATAGCTACCCCCACTGGAATATAAACAGTCTATATACAGTCTATATATATACTGCATTGCATCTGCGCTACCGTTTTCATTGCTGCCAGATCTCGTCATCATCGTCATTACACTGGTCAACACACTTTTTCTGGCATAAGGTATTCCAACGGTTTTAAGGTAATTTTTGGGGTGCCGATTCCAAATCTGGCATCAGTTTTTGTCTATCACATCAGGTTTTTGAGATATCAAATATTGCATTTTCAATAAAAACTGCGGAAGAAAAATATTAAATAAATGTGGATATCTACATAAAATGATATTATAAACACACTATCCTAAAAATACAGCACCATATTTTAACACTAAAGCAGTCACTGACTCGCAACAACTTGCAATCATAAGTGACAGAGTTAATTTCGGGTAAAATCAATGAAAATGGGGTATGCCAATAGCATAAAAATGAGATGTGATAGAGCAAATCTGAGATCAGATTTGGAATCAGCACCCTGAAATTAGTCTAGAACAGCTGCAAAAGTCCAGGCCAGAATAGTTTTTTTTTGTTGACCAGTGTTATCATCAGCAGCCATGGTCACTCCACTGCTGGATGAAGGGCCTGCCCCAATCCGTCGACCCGCCACTCCTCGCGGTGCTGCCACGTTGTAACCCATCCACCCGATCCGCGAGCCGATTTCACCGCTCCGTCTCCCCCGGTGGCGACTTCCCTGACCACGAAACCATCGCCGGTGTAATGGCACCGACGTGACCACGGCGACTAAATCGCCATTCGCTTGACCACTGCCACAAGTTTCATAACATTGAAGGCGATCTCATGCTCCAACACGGATTGCAGCACCGGTGGTGGGAATTCCACATTCCTATGGCCGGGGGCGGGTCTACCCATTAGGAACAAACCGCCGTTGACTTCCACACAAAGTTGGGGCTCATGTTATCGGCTCCCAACCAGGGAGTTGAACTCGCACCCCGAGTTCAACTGAACCGCCACCACCACCACCACCAACAACAACAACAACAGCAGCAGCAGCAGCAACGTTAGTATAAAGCATAGCAACGCGTGCGGCGTGGCGCGGGTGTAACGTGACACGGTGTGATGTGTGGTACGTACGGTGTGATGTGTGGTACGGTGTGGCGTGATCGCAAGGACGTGGTGTGACTGACCAGAGCACTAGGGTGGTTTGGAGTCGGTTGATGTGACGTGGCACGGCGTGATGTGGCAAGTTTGGCGTGGCGTGGCATGGTGTGGTGTGGCGTGGTGTGACACGGTATGGGGTGGTGTGGTGTGGTGTGACACGGCATGGCGTGGTGTGGCGATGCGTGGCATGACATGGTGTGGCGTGGTGTGACATGATATGGCGTGGTGTGGCGTGGTGTGGTGTGGTGTGGCATGGTGTGGTATGACACGGCATGGCATGGTGTGGCGTGGTGTGGCGATGCGTGGCATGATATTGCGTGGCGTGGTATGACACGGCATGGCGTGGTGTGGCGATGCGTGGCATGACATGGTGTGGCGTGGTGTGACATATGGCGTGGGTGGCGTGGTGTGGTGTGGTATGACACAGCATGGCGTGGTGTGGCGTGGTGTGGTGTGGTATGACACGGCGTGGCGTGGCATGGTGTGGCGATGCGTGGCATGACACGGTGTGGCGTGCGTCGCCATGGCGTGGCGTCATGCTGACATGGCGTGGTGTGTGCAGAATTTAGGAGAGGAAAATGCCCGCGTACCCACACTTACGATCTTCTGGCTCAGCAGGTCGCCCAGGAGGGCGTCCACCACTGGCGCCCGGCGCCCGTACATGGCACGCCGCGTGATCCCCACGTGGAACCGCAGCCAGTTGGGGTACGTGTCGTACGGGCTGCGGCTCGCCGCGGCATGCGGGCCGGGGATTGGCTCGGCCGCAGGGTCACTCGTCCTGCGGGGGAGGGGAGGAACATCCATCATCATCATCATTGCCATCATCATCATTGCCATCATCATCATCGCCATCATTGCCATCATCATCATTGCCATTATTGCCATCATCATAATTGCCATCATTGCCATCATCATCATTATCATCATCATCATCATTGCCATCATCATCATTGCCATCATTGCCATCATCATCATCATCAGAGTCGTTCATGTTGTAGCTCTAAGCGGCGTCCACATCTCCCATCACCGGCGCCGTCGTCACCACGCAACTTCACAGCCGGGCGGTGCCGGCGGCGGCGGCGGCGGCGGTGGTGGTGGCTACGCCGCTTCACGTGGCCTCCTGGCAATCATCGAGCGCTGCCGTGGAGAGCCAGGGGGTCACCGCACTCCACATTTCTTATTCTTCTTATTCTTTCGTACGGCTGCTGATGTAGATGGAGAGCAACAACTGCCATTTCACATTCAGGTTGTCAAGAGCGTTGTGCCCCCCCCCCCCCTGTCTCTCTCTCGCGCGGGGTGGGGGGCGCTCCGGTTTCCTCCCACGTGGTTTAACCGCTCAGAAATGATGAGCCTAAAATATATATTTTTTAAACCCAAATGTGACAAGGACCCTCGTCAATAATTGCCTTATTACGACTCAGTGTGGCTCTCCTGGATTTCTAGAAAATAAATAAAAACCACTCATCACCGAAACTCCTCCACGACCAAAGACAAAGATCCCCCGTATGGCGTTAACAGACTTGTTGGGGCAAGTGCCGTCAGGAAGTAAACGCCCACGAAGGCCGGCACGGTACACGAGGGAGTGGGTGGCCAGCACCACGATCTGCGACCTCCACCACGCACGGCCATCATCGTTATCATAATTGTTTTTTTTACCCTTCTATCTGGCAACAAAACTGACACCTTTTTTTACAAGGAGTCATGTTTGCATAGACCACAATACCTGCAGCCATAATGCAAACAAATAACATAACTCCGATGATATATGCACTGTCCTTGAAGTTGATTGGTCCAGGACAGTGCATATATTATCAGAGTTATGTTATTTGTTTGCATTATGGCTGCAGGTATTGTGGTCTATGCAAACATGACTCCTCGTAAAAAAGGTGTCAGTTTTGTTGCCAGATAGAAGGGTAAAAAAACAATTATCATATTTGTTACTGGCAAAGGAGGTTCCAATGGTGTAAATCATCGTTATCGTCGCGCCCTTCATACCAAAGCACACTACCACCACCGCCGCCACCCACTTTTGAAAAGGGGCACCCCCAGTAGCAGCTGTCCCTGTGCGGCGACACAAGGTCGACCCCGGGCACCTGGCCTGCGAAACGCGCCTCGCCGCCCAAATTCAGTTCCATCTAAGAAGGCAAATCAAGCTTGATCCTGGATAGTGAACGCACGCGGTTTGTTCGCTCCGTTTTCACTATCGCTTCGTCGACTTTGTTTTAGATTTCGTTGCCGTTTGGAATGTTGATGTCGCCCAGGCGAATCTTGCAAGACGAGACTCAATCCCGTTCAGGCGGAATCAACAGGAGCATCTGTGCGTGTGGAGTGTGCGTGTGTTGTGTGCGTGTGTGTATATACGTGTGGTGTGCGTGTGTGGTGTATATTCGTGTGGTGTGTGTGTGTAGTGTGTGTGTGCGTGGTGTGTGTGTGTATATGCGTGTGGTGTGTGCGCGTGTTGTGTTCGTGTGTTTTCTTTTCAATTAGCAAAGTCCAGTCAGTACCTTGGAGAGCGGCTACTGTTCCCGACGTTCGCGCCCGGCAGGACCCCCCCACCCCGTCAGCCGGGTGTGAACGCGTCAGCCAGTGCAGCGAGTGCTCTTATTATGTACGCAGCGGCTTCATTTCAGCAGGAGCCGCCCGGGACTGATCTCCGGAAAACACGTATATATGTGCCCGGGGGAAAGGGGGGGGCTGGCGGGGGGGGTGGTAGGCGCTGGCTGTAATGACTATTACGTTTCTAATCGTTTTGTTGTCATCAGTGATGATGTTTCTCACGCTGCTGGTTGCCAAGTACCTAATCCTAACATCGAAGACAAAGCACTGTTCGCTAACACCTACGAAGGCCGACACGGCACACGAGGTGGGGTGATCATTCCTTGTCCGCCCGTCTTTATCTCCCCAGTGCTCATAGGGGGTTTAAAAAAATATATTTTTGTATCCACACCTTACCAGGTACTCATTTAAGGTCGAGTCGACCTCGAGGGAGGCCGTGGGAACGGTTCAGATGTTCCTCACCGATGTTGTGCTGCGAGAGCTGGCGGACTCGAAGCCGCGTCGCCGGGTTTTGCAGAGCCAGCGAAGCTAACCACTGCGCCACCGCTCCTCGCAAATTGCATTGTACAGTACTCGCGTAAGCTCGCAACGTTGCTCTGGGACACGCACAGCACACTGTACATGCATGCATGCATAACATCGCAAGACAATGCAGTGGGGTGCATCCTCTTCGTTTAACAAAGACAAAGATCTCCCGTATAGCCTGTAACTGACTGTTGTGGCAAGTGCTGTTAGCAAGCACATATGAAGGCCAGAACGGAACACGAGGGGGTGGGTGGGTGGCTAGCACCACGCCCGGTCGCCTTTGTCTCCCCAGTGGCGATGTTTACACACCGCACCAGGTACTCATTTGAGGCCGAGTCGACCTAGGGGAGGCCCAGGATCGGTTCAGATAATCGCCGGTGTTGGCCGTGAGCGGGAATCGAACTCGGGTCGCCGGGCTCGTAGCGCAGTGCGCTAACCACTGCACCACCGCTCCCCACATACATTTGAATATACACACACACGTGTAGATACAGTATCCCTTAAACACATTTGCAGTGTGACGTTATAGGATTATGATTGTGGGCTATGTTGGCGCTGATGACAATTCCAGTGGCTGGCGATGTTTGCAGTGGTGCAAGTGCTGACGATGACAATTATATTTGTAGTGGATTGTGATGGTGTAATGATGGAATTGCGGTGCTTTTCCCTCCTGCTGATGACGGTTGCAATAGCAGCAGCTGCTGCTACTGATGATGGTGGTGGTGGTGGTGCAATTATGGTCATGACGATGATGTTGGTGGCGGTGATGATGATTACGATAATTGTATAATGATGGCGATTGCGCGAGGCGGATGACGATTGCGGTATCTTTCACGAGCTGATAATCACATTAGTACCGTCATGACTGTGTTCACAGTTGATGTGGGGGGGGAGGAGGGAGTGGAGTGGGGGTGACAGTGGCTGTCATCGTCATACATCAACCACACTCACCACCCATCGCTGTCCAGGCGTTTACTCTTGGGATTAAATTTGGCTCCCGGCTCCACGATGAAGAGAAGATCTTCCTTGGATGGCGTCGGAACGGTCACCGTGTAGAGAGGGTGAGCGAATAGCGCGTCTAGAGACGACCACGCCGAGTCCTCCACCATCACCACCTCCGCATCATCACCACCACCACCATTATCCCTCGACCTCTTCTTAACCCCTTGCATGCCGCCTGCCGGAACGCCATCAACGCCCGCAATCCTCTTCCGGCCACGAGATGACTCGTCGCCACCGTCGTCAGCCGCCGGCGGTGCCTGCCGCAGCAGCTGTTGTTGTTGGTGGTGTTGGTGGTGGTAGCTGCTGTTCGATGACCCACCACCACCACCACCGACTACGCCGCTGCTAACGTCCTGTAGAATTCTCAAAGCCGCCTTGCCCCCGTCGTTGGCGGCGTTGTGCCGTGAGCGCCTCGCCACGTTGCTTGCCGAGCCGCAACCGCATTCGTCCGCGCGCATCACTCGCCTCTCCAGCTCGGGCAGGAGGTCGAGCACGATGTGCAGGCAACAGGCGAGCACCAGCACGGCCACGAGCAGCAGCTTGAACTTGCGTTTCATCATGTTGGCTGCCGTCGTTGGTGTCACTTCTGCCGGTGATGCTAATGATGATGGTGATGATGATGGTGGTGGTGGTGGCTCTTAGCCCCCTTTCCTTTCGCCGTGTGATCTGGCCAGCTATCTATAGCCAGATATCTACCGAGGCTACAGTCACGCCAAAGGCACTGCTGCGATATTCCTTGCCTCCCCCCCCACCCGAATCCCCCGTTCTTCTATTCCCCGACAGCTGTAGCGGCCGATATGATTTTATAATGTTTTATTTTGTATTATTTTATTATTTCCCTTCTACGCGACTTTACCGAAAAAACCAAGAAGATGAATCCCTGCAGTCACGAAAGCTTTAAATCGAAATGATTTGATGACTTATATCTCTGGCCTCTCGCCCGAAACGTCGCCGATTATATATATTTATACCCGCCCCACCCTCCTCCTCCTCCTTTTAAGAGGTAGTGCTATGGACAAACGCGTTGTGTTTCATTTGGTGTCGTTTGTGATCGAACACTGCGGCCAATGATAGCAGTCGCATAACCAAACAATGATTATAATTATACAATAATAATAATAATGGTCATCGGACCCGATAGGAATTGTTCCCGTACAAGGGGAAAAACCCCCGTGTGAATACCGAATGCTACCGGACAGTGACACACAATAGGTTATAACAATCCTGACGATCGTGTAGTATCATTATCGTGTGAAGGCAGTTCCTTCCCTATACTAACTAATGCATTAATAATAATTATTGTTATCATACAAACGGCGACGATGAAGAGGCATTGATCGAGACGGCCTCACTGTTGTACAAATCGTTACGAGCGTAGCGGCAGCGCTAATGATAAACAATCGTCCAATGACACGCATACGAGCGGCGATGTGTTTTTTTAGACGGCAGAACGAAAGCGAATCCTACGCTCGTGTCGCCGAATGACATCGGCACGAAGAGGCGACCACCGCTCGCTGCCTCGGATGCCGCCGATTGTGAAAGCCTCCGCCTCCGCTGATGATACAAATAATTGTATTCTCTACTCACTCTCATCGGATCTCTCACTGCTGCTATACATCCCCGAAACCCATACCACGCTCCTTCCTCCTCCTCCCTGCGTCGTCCCACCGACCTAACCAGCCAAGCGGCGGCCAGCCAACACCGCTCGCTTCGCGTTGTCCGTCCGCGACCTTAGTCAATTCTCATTGCGTCTCCCTCCTTCCGTCTACCGGCAGCTGCGCTGGTCGCTGTGCTCGCGGTGGCAAATGCTGCTGCTGCTGATGCTGCTGCTGCTGCTCCTCTTATACCGGAGATCTTCCATCGAGCGACGATGAGCCGTGGGCTCCTGATTAAAACGTTACCCACTAACACCACCCACCCCCCACCCCCTTGGCTCGGAAGCGGTGACCCGCTTCTGAATCGCAGAGACGCACGCGTGTGCGCGTGTGTGTGTGAGAGTGAGAGAGAGCACGCGCGTGTGTGTGAGAGAGAGGGAGAGCTAATGCGCGTGTGTGTGTGTGAGAGAACGAGAGAGAGAAAGAGATAATGCGTATGTGTGTGAGAGAGGGAGAGAGGGAGAGAGAATGCGCGTGTGCGTGCGTGCGCGCGTGTATCGGAGCTGGCAGAGTGATGCGCGGTGTGGATGGGGAGGCGGGAGAGAGTTCGGGGGGAGAGGAGGAAGAGGAGGAGGAGGAGAGAGCTGATGGAATGGATGCACGCGGTGCATGCGCTCTGAAGGGGGCGATAGATTCGTGTGCTGCTGCCGCCGCTGTTGGTTCTCAATCATGATGATTGATGATGATGTAATTACAATGGTGATTGAGGGTGTCATTACAATGGTGACGGTGGTGGTGTCGTCACAGTGCTGGTGTGGTTACAACAGTGACTACACAGAGCTACAATAGAGTGATGATGATGGTGGTGATGGTGATGATGATTATGCCGATGATGCTTGTGATGCTGGCGATGATGATGAAGATGATTCAACAGTCGCGGTGTTGTTACGACTGTATGCGATGATGCTGGCTACGATAATGATCACGAAGATGCCATTGCAATCACGGTGTTGTAACAAGAGTAGATGACGATTGTGACGTCGATCTTACTGCAATCGGCTGTCCGACAAACACCGGTCCCATCAGCTGTGTGTGTGCGTGAGACGTAGTCCGCTACAAACCCGGCAAAAACCGAGTTCGATTCCCGCCCACGCTACAAACCAACGCAGGTGACGAACATCTGAATTCGATCCTGGACCTCCCCTAGGTTGACTCAGCCTTAAAAAACATATTTGTTTTGGTGTTGCACGAATCAAACATCAGCACTGGGGAGACAAAGGCGGCCGGGCGTGATACCGGAAACCCTCGCCATACCTCCGCCCCCCTACCTCGTGCGCCGTGCAGGCCTTCATCGGTGCCACTCACTCACAGCACTTGCCCCAACAGCATGTGCAAGGCTACACGGGGGGGGGGGGGGTCTTTGTCTTGTATTACCAAGACACACACACACACAACACACACGTGTATTGTGTGTGTTGTGTGTGTGTGTATTGTGTGTATTGTGTGTGTGTTGTGTGTGTGTTCCTATTATCAAGGCGACGCAACGAATGTGCCACGTGGCAGCTATGGGCTAGGAATAACTCCCCCCGCGCTTGTTGGTGCTGCGTCAGCGGTGGTACACAACAGAAACAACTAATACCGTGGCCTTGACGTTTTGGGCAATGGGCCTGCAAGAGAGACAGATTTAGGCGGGGGGATTGGAGGGCCTTCCCCATTCACGAATGTGAGTAATATCATGACAATAAGTTACATTTCGAGAACGCCTTTCTGTAGAGCACATCACGTAAATAGAAAACGCCACAACAACACAAACAATAACTGCGTCTTAAGTCGTAAATTCAATTAAGCGATGGGGTGGGGGGTGGCAGGGGGGAGGTTCGAGAGGGGAGTCAGCAGAGCGAACGTCCAGTGGACGTGAATTAGACATTCTGGGGGAAGGGGGGGGGGAATGAGACAATGCCCCAGCGGTCACCCATCGTCATCATCGTAGTGATCATCATCATGATCATTGTCATCATCAACCTCGTCGTCGTCGCTGTCGTCATCATCGTCATAATCATTATCGTCGTCATCATCATTATCATCATAATCATCATTATCATCATCGACGTTATCATCGTCGTCATCATCATCTTCATCACCATCATTATCATCATCATCATCACCATCATCGCCATCATCATTATCATCATCGTCGTCGTCGTCGTCATCATCATCTTCATCATCACCACCATCATCATCACCATCATCATCGCCATCATCATTATCATCATCGACGTCGCCATCATCGTCATTGTCGTCATCATCGTCGTCATCATCATCTTCATCATCACCACCATCATCATCATCACCATCATCATCGCCATCATCATCATCATCGTCGTCATCATCGTCATCGTCGTTATCATCATCTTCATCATCACCACCACCATCACAATCATCACCATCATCATCGCCATCATCATCGTCGTCGTTGTCGCCGTACAGACACGTGACCTGAGGCCACACCCTGACGAGCCCACTCCTCCAGCTGGGACACGCGGCACGACGCAGCAGGAGCAGCAGCAGGAGGAGGGTTCTGTGTCCACAAGGGAGCAACATCGTTGAGTCAGCCTTGTTAACAGGGTGGTCCAGATGTCTTATGACCCCCCCCCCCCAAATTAATTGGCCCTGAACATTACAAAACAAATGTGGTGACATTGCATTACACACCCATTGGGCATATACAATAACTTTTAAGTTGTAGTGAATTAAAACTATTAAACTAAATTATGTTTTTGTTTTCGCTCTTTTTCAGAAGCGACCTGGCCGCAAATGATAGCTCAACGAAGTGGTATCATCATCATCATGTGAACATTTATAGCAGCAAGCCACTCTGAAAGCGTGATGTTGATTCTGAATGTGGGAGGGAAAAACCGGAGGACCCGGAGAAAAATTCCACGCGAGCGACGGGAGAGAGAGAGAGACACGCAAACTCCAAATATACAGCAGCAGCAGGCGTCAGGGTCGGGCTCGAAGCCACGACCTCCTGCATACCAGGCGAGGTAGTTAACATCTCCTAGCCACCGTGGTGACGTCCCCACAGTTTTGCCAGGCTATGTTGCACCCATCACGTGAAGCGTGGAAAGCTCGCTGTTGGCAGGAGGGATTATGGAGTTTGACTGACTGAGATGTGACTGGCAGATCCTCCTAGCCACGGCGGCGCCCGATATGGTGGGGGGGGGGGGGGTCACAAGATATCTGGACCATCCTGTAGGTGAGTCAGGAGGAGAGATCTTGAACTCTGCTCGAACCCCGACCCGGTAGGCAACGGAGAGATGCCCGCCTCGGGGGTCGAATCGCTGAGCACAGAGGCGTGCGCGTGAGAATTCTCCCGGCAGCCGCGTATTATTCGCGTGATGTTGAACTAAAGAAATGAGTTTCCAATCTTAGATGATTTAAAAGAGCATAGGCTCAGTGGCTACTTAATATCGGGAGAAGGAAGAGCGTTCCAGACGGTCGTAGAAGCACCGCGTTTGAAAGCGCGCGATGCGGTGACCACCGCCTTTAATCGATGTTATATTCTTTTATCGATGTTATGTGCGCTTAAGATCAACGGAAGGGGATATCGATCATTTGATTGTATCGGCTGCGAGACAGCACACCAGGAAACCAGCAACCCCAGAGTAGAGCTTGCAATCACCTCTATAAATAAAGAACTCAATCTGTATGTCTTTTAGGGCACAGGCAATCTGAAAATTCTAAATTTTCATTGTAAGGCCCCCCAAATCTCGATTTTAAGTGCCCCATATGCATGTTTGCATGTATTTCAGAAAGCGTTCAAAAAATAACATTGGGATTTTTTTCGTTCGATAGAGCGTTAGACGGCAAATACATTTGAAGCGAGAATCTTGTATTGTTATTAAAGCGGTTTTGAACGAAAAAATACGCATTTAATGATGTTCAAATCTGAATAATTCGAAAACGGTAAAAGATAGGAGAGCTTTCCCTCGTAGCGTATTAAGCAAGCGAACTTAATATAAATGATTTTAAAAAAAGTGGGGAGTGCGCACGCGTGGCCAGATTTAGTTTGTACAGAGACATCGACACCGGGCACAGGCCTGGGAGTGGAGGATTACTTACCCTGGAGGCTCTCCTAATCCGCAGGATACGCTAAGGGGCCGTCCATAAATGACGTCACGCGATTTTGGAGGATTTTTTTTTTACCCCCCCCCCCCCGCATCGTCACACGGCGTCACAAAAAGTCAGACCCCCCCTCAAATGACGTCACAAAACTCTGCCCCCCCCCCCCCCAATATAAAACATGCTTCAAATCGTATTCTTAGGTTTTTCGGTAAAGTCACGTAGGTCAAAAAACATTAAAAAGTAAAATAAAATAAAAATCACGACGTTTCGGAGGCAACACAAGCTTCCGTCTTCAGGTGGTACCGTCACAGCCACGACAGCTGTATCAAGTAAATGAGAGATTGCAGAAGCCACCACTCTTGTGTTGCCTCCGAAACGTCGTGATTTTTATTTTATTTTACTTTTTAATGTTTTTTTACCTACGTGACTTTACCAAAAAAACCTAAGAATATGAATCATTGCAGTCACGAAAGCTTCAAATCTAGAATTAATGCTTCAAATCGCTTTAAACTATTGTCATTGCAGTGCGTATTTAATGCGGCGCTGCACTCTGATGTTGTAGGAGAAAACATTTAGTAAAAAGTATATTTAATTGAGTAGAACGTGTTGTCTAGATTTATTTAAAGTTGCGCATTTTGATGTGACGTCACATTTCTCAAACACCCCCCCCCCCGTCACAAATGTCTGACCCCCCCCCCCCCAGGTGCGTCACGTCATTTATGGACGGCCTCTAATACAATGTTGTATAACAATAATAGTATCATGTACAGCCCCTCTTGTCTGTATGGTTAAGGTGGTTATCATCATGGGAGGAAGTGGGGGGGGGGGGTGTTTGACCTATACTTCACCGGGCTGATCACTGCTCGCTGCTGATGTTGGGAGTGTAACCCAGGACTGGTTTATACTGGTAGGAACCACCTGGTTCCACCAGCCCACAAGGGATTATTGTGCCCGTCCGTCCGTCGTGTATCCAAAAATGGGAGGGGTGGGGCTGGGTGGAGAGGGGAGGGTGGAGAGGGGCTGGGTGGGGAGGGGAGGGAGGGGCTGGGTGGGGAGGGTGGGGCTAGGTGGGGGGTGGGAGGGGTGGGGCTGGGTGGGGAGGGGCTGGTCACCCCGTGGTGCCCTTATAAAACTCAACGTTTAACCTACTCACGCCGGCTTGTGCCCGCCCTCACAGTCGGCCATATTTGCGGAATACACCACGCCGCCGTTGACCCTGGCCATTGACCGAGCAACCCACAACGTTCCTACCAGCTCCCTCCGCAGGAATGTGTTAAGCCACTGATTTACGGTTATGCCGCGGCCGGGAATCGAACTCAAGTTACCGGGTTCATAACGTAGAGCCCCCCCTCCCCTCCCTCAAGCCCCCTCCTCGCCCCCATCGCTCCTACTCGATACCACCCATACACGTGCACACAAATACAAAGA